CCTTTGTACACCAATTACACTATCTTGGTACACTCTTTAGTGTACCATTTTTAAAGAAACACATATTGCTTTGAAGGCTTTATTTTAAATATGACAATTTCATAATAATTTGCCTATGTGTAATGTCAATTTATTGTCATTGTTTATTATGTGATAAACAGGTAAAAAATGCAAAAAAGACCTGTCAATCAGTTTATTATTAATGCTATCGGAGGAAAGGAGAACATGAAAACTAAGAAAGAAATACAAATATTTATTTCTGAGTGGTGCCAGTATCGGTTGTTTTTAGTCAGTTGTGATTAGTTTAGTAGTTTTAGTAATACAACACAAAATGTACCAATCGTTACGGTTACAGTGTATCAATAGTTACGATTTATTTGATCAATTAACCGATATCCAGTCAGGACTAATTTTGCGTTATGCAAATCAAAACACTATGGAAGGACACCTGCACTTTCCTATGAATTGATACGTCACTGAAAGGTTATACTACGACCTGTTCTCCATAATGTATACATGTAAATAGGTATAGAACTCCTAAAATTGATTTTCAAATTAATAGGTTAAATAATTTCCATGGAAATCGCGCTTTTCTGGTACTCGGACTTTATCTTGAATGCATGTGATTTAATAAAAATTCTCCTGGATGATAAGGTGTGAATGAGCTGGTCTCCATTACTTTTCATTGACTACTTTAATATTGGTGGTGTATAATAAAACATTGAGCGGAATGTTGCGTTTCGTTATTCATTTTTAGCTCACCTGGTCCGAAGACGCAGCGTCCGTCGTCCATCCGTCCGTCAACTTTATTTAAAAACACTACTAGTCCTGAACGGCCCAGTAGATTTTGAATAAATTTGGCCCGAAGCATCCTTAGGCCAAGGGCTCTCAATTTTGTATAAATGGTGGTGATGGTGGGGCGGAACTAGTGGAAATAGCGGTAAAGGTGGGTGGGGGGGACGGGGGATAGAGGTAAACCTTTAATGTGAACATTTGAAATCCTTTTTCTACCGTAGGGATTAAGGGATTTTATCCTAATTTGGTCTGGAGCATCATTGGGCAAAGAGGACTCAATTTTGTATAGGTAAAACCTTTAAAATCCTTCTTCTACCATTAGGATTAGGGATTTTATCATAATTTTGTCTGGAGCATCATTGGGCCATGGAAACTCAATTTTTTATAAGCGAAGTGTGAGGCCCCTCTGGGTGCTGAGAGTTACAGGGCCCAATAGGGAAATTCTAGTTTAAATCTTACTCCTTGTGTACCATTTGAAGGATTTTATGTAATAATGATAATTTCCCATAGTTGCTTTATTATCCAGATGAGCGATACATGCCTTCTGGGCCTCTGATTTTTCATTGGACACGTTGGGGGAGCAATTTTCGCTATATGCTTATACAATGTATTGACTAATTGGGGACCCCGCGGGATCGGAAGTGCTTTGCATCTTGTGTCTAGGCAATAGCTAATAATAAGAAAAGTAATGTATCTGGTGCATCAATTACCATAATTTTCAATACTGTTCTACAGCTTTCCGTGTCTCTAAAGAATGACCATGTGTAATATTGAGCTAATGGGCCGTTAAGAATGTATCATTTTATACATTGTTTAAAGGCGTTTCATCCGGGCTGATGTCAGCGTAGGAAATGTAAGGAACCATATTTTTTCTTAAAAAATGGACTAAGTGATTCATTAATGGTGCATAATGGACACTAAAAACCATGGCCAGATTGAAATTGTTTCAAACAGTTTTTATCTGAAAACATACACTTTCTCTGAGAATATTTTTGTGTAGATGAACAGCCTTGAATATTGATACAACTTTAACCTGATAGGTTTACTGTACTGATTACCAGGTAGTGAGTATTGTCATTTGAAATGATAAATGTCACCATTCCGGACATTTGAAGCATTTCCTTATAGTTTTCTCGAAAAAAGTAATTACCTGGATACTCCAGAAGAACAGTATCAGTTGATTTACTTTTCATTATACAACACAACAACATAAAACAATAACATTAACGATATCAATACTGCATTTTACATACTTTAATAACAAATAACACTGAGTAAATAGTGTAACACTAAAGAAAAACCCGAGAGTGACAGTGAAAGATATTCTCCCGTAGTTTATTTCATGTCCCAATGTCGAAGGTGAAATCAATCATCAATATCAATCGATATGGGTACACCAGGTCATTAAATATATCACTAGATATAGATAAGATACTTGATAATATCAATATCAATAAATATGGTATAAATTTCATATGAACATCTGATAACAATAGAAAGTTACATCAAAGGTCAATATACAAATAACCAAAGCCCGTAGGTCAAATTGATCGTCACTATTGACCAATATGATACACCTACCAATTCTACATCTCATGGTCTACACCTCTAAACAGATATGGTCTAGTTGAGCATGTAGTAAATCACGATCTAAATACTATCGATAATGTGAGGCCCTGAGACGTTTTTGTGATCGGATCAAAGTATAAAGACTCCCAAGTGCACTATCAAATGAAATGTGAATTTTAAGATACTTATTAATTCCAAATTAAACTGAGTTCACTTTCGGACTGCGTCTATACTAGTACTATACTTACAATTAGAAATAAATACACAAAATCGACTTACTTTGTAAGGTACGATCACATTTGCAATTAGTACTTGGATAAGCCCAACGGAACAACCCTATTGCGAGTTATGTATATCATTGTAAAATTAGTTTAGAGTAAACACCGAAAACTGTGGAATAATACAGATATTCCACATTTTTAGATGTTTCTCATATATAAAACTTGGCATCATACAACTTGTGTGGAGAAAGAAAATATCAATCCCCGATTCCGAACTTTGAATGCTGATAAAATTTAAAGTCTACTGAAGGGTTTTGCATCCTAAGTCTGATTGGACTGTACGACTTTCCGAGGCGTGGGGAGATTATCGTTACAAAAGTCAGAACGTGAAGACCCTTTATTTATGCCTGCTGACGACTTTGATGTCAATTTAGAGAGGTTTATAACATGCACATGGAAACTGAATCAGAGTGTCGTGGAATTCATTGAAATTATCATTGGTATTCAATATTACCTTCGTGGGGAAAAAAGCGAAATATAAACCTTTATGATCATCCGGAGAAAATTTTGAAGGCTTGCGTAGGCTATTGACTTTTAAATAAAACTGTTACCCAGACAAAGAATTGTAATGAACATTGCAAATCATCTGTTATTTATTTTGAAGAATATGGTGAATTATGACATGTGGAATCCTAGATACAGACACAACCTAAGAGCTGCGTAACTTCTGCTCTGTACTGTAGGGTTTATGTTTGCCTTCAGAGAAAGACAGGAGCTTGGGGGCCGTAAGAGGGTACCTTAACTCTCAGCTGTACTATGTTAAGGTCCCATGTTTATTCAATTCACTTAGAAGATGTATCTTAAACCAATACAAAAGGACATCCTTGTCTTAACCCCCTAACAAACCCGTGCATATGTAAATCCAGCACAACCTCACAGATTCACAGTGACAATGTATGTTTGTCGTTATACAAGTTTTAAAGCGTTATTTCAGTACATTTGTATAACACAGATAAGGTCAATCCGGATTGATCGTAGCCAATCTCCGGACGGTAAAGAGGAAATGTAATGATACGTACTTATGTTAGATTTAGGTAATACTCCTGTCTTATTTTTTTTTAAATAAATGTACAACAATAACATGTAAAACACAGATTTCGTAACGTTTCAATTTCCTTATTTAAGAAAATGTAAAGTGTGAAGCAGTGTACTCACACGCCTTTAGGGCCCACATTACCAAATTGTTTACATACAGATGTTCCTGTCGATGTGCATTCTTAGCCACACTGTGAGAGGGACTGCTGTCACTAGACTGTATAAAGCAGGCGTATAAGGACCAACTTACTGTGAACAACAGGTCACCAATCTACTGCCATCAAACAAGGAAATGGAAAAAGAAGCAGGACAAATGTTAATTGTTCTGTTACAAACTATTCCAGAGTAAAAAGTACATGTAAATATTCCACAGCAATAAGTGAAATTACCAGAATTGCCTTAAAAAATATTTCGTGCAAGAACAATATATACCATCACAGTCTGTTTTAATTTTGGCTATATGTATAATATTTGAATTATCGGATTTCTTTTGCATATTCAAAACTTATTATTGGATAAGCTGACACCAATATTCGAGTATTGCGCACTCAAAATCAGAAGTGGACACTGCGCATATCGATTAACAGAGCTCAGTGACGCCATTCGAACTCAATATTGGTGACACTTGCAGAGAAATAAATAAATACGAACAAAGGAATAATTAGAAGAAGCCTAGTGCAAAGATACCGTACAAATAAAATAAAGCCATGCCAGAATGGTTAATGTGTCATCTGTGTCACCGACGGCAATATCAAGATAAATGAATACATATTAAATAAATCTACGCAAAACCCTAAACATATTTTTCGCAGGAAATATTATGTTTATGATATCCGAAAGCAATCCGGAATTCAAATCTTGCATAACCAATATTCTTGGAACCTTAAATAAATGTAAATCGATGTAACATCTATATATCGGATGAATAACTGCTGCCCAAAGTAACCAATTTGTATACAAACGTTTAATTAGTTACTGATCTACCATGTTGCAAGGCTCCTGTTTCATGATCGTTCCTCATCATATGTATTTTTTTCACATACGTAAGCATTATTGTCGGAAGACATAAATTAAAGAACGGTTGTGGGCAGGGTGAATGTACCTAAACCACAGGGGCACGTTACAAGTTTATGTGTGTTGTGACCCATATCAGTATAGCATATGTGTGTATTTCAGACATTTGTAACGTGCCCCTGTGCCTAAACCGTATAAAGTTAACTTTCACAAGGCCTATATAATATATAACATGGAAACCCCTATTACGCATATATATACATCACATCGCTATGACACATATCTAAAAATATAAATATCAAGGGAGACAACTCGCATTTGTTTACATCACGGTAATGCAGAATGTATCAGTAGCTTCCGGATTGATCGAAGTACTCATTTAAATACCCTGTCATTGTAATGGCGGATTGTGACTATTTATATAAAATCATTCTGATCGGAGACATCAACGTGGGAAAAACAAGTATAGTGAGGAGGTTCCGCGATGGTGCGTTTGATGACACGTACAGGACAACTATAGGGGTCGACTTCGCCATTAGGACACTAGACATTGACAACAAGCAAGTCAAGGTAATATGGTCGATCGACACATGTGTGTGTATGTGTGTGTTTGTATACACGACATAAGCATGCGTATTTCTATAAAGGGTCCTACACCGATTCACCCAAACCAGTTCTATCCTTTCAGATAGTGTCAACTATGTGTAATCAACATTCACTGATATATGTACATGTACATTACTGTATATTTCCAATGGTTATTACGTAATTGGTCATTAAAAATCAAGTAGGCCTGTACACGAGTTACATTCATTCACAAGATATCTTGACTGTGTAGTTAAAGACATGCTATACTACCCAAAGTACGTTTAGCTAATCCAGTTAAATTTTGTATATACGCTGCGCAAAACACTTTTAAAACGAAAGTACAAAATGGAGATATCAAAACACTATTTATATAAAAAGGCACCCTTCACTCAACTTTCAGTGATGCTTCCTGTTTGGAAAATAATAAACTTAAAAAAACGTATCAGCAATTCAGATGCTTTTAAAATAAGTAGACTGTCATTTGACAAGTCAATTATTTATATTTATTTTTTATAAAACTTTCATTAAACCATCACTTAAATGATTAACATTAAACTTTTAATAGACCGTCATGTGACTGTTACGAGTGTGCACGACATAAGACAGCCCAGTTTTGGGCTGTCATTAGAATATTTTGAGACTAGTGTTAAACTGTATGTTGTCAGACATCACTGGAATATTATCAGGGTTTGGTTTGGGAGGCTGAGATATGTTCGTGTTTGTCTCCTTGTGATAGCGCGGCACTGATGCCGACTTTATAGTGCTACATCACTGAAACATACTGCCGAAGACACACAGCAGGACACACCACCTGGTCACATTATACTGACGACGGGCAAACCAGTCGTCCCACTCATAAATTGCTGAGATTGTTAGTATACTGTTATATAATTGTAACTAGGCTGCTATGGGACTGTTATTACGTACACTGTTATATAATTGTAACTAGGCTGCTATGGGACTGTTATTAAGTACACTGTTATATAATTGTAACAAGGCTGCTATGGGACTGTTATTAAGTACACTGTTATATACTTGTAACTAGGCTGCTATGGGACTGTTATTACGTACACTGTTATATAATTGTAACTAGCTATAGGCTGCTATGGGACTGTTATTACGTACACTGTTATATAATTGTAACTAGGCTGCTATGGGACTGTTATTACGTACACTGTTATTGGATGACTATTGTTATCCTACTGTTATGTAATTATAAAACAGTAATCGTTATTATACTGCTATGTACTTATTATCATATTGTTATGTAATTTTTAATATACTTAAATGTGATCAATATATAAACTGTTATCTAATTATGTCCTACTGTTATGTAATTATAAAACAGTAATCGTTATATATACTTAAATGCAATTATTGTTATACTGGTATGTAATTAATGTTATACTGTTTTATAATTATTATTATACTGGTATGTAATTAATGTTATACTGTTTTATAATTATTATTATACTCTTATGTAATTGTGTCATAATGTTATGTACTCTTTATTACACTGTTATAGGATTGTTTATACTGTTGTAACTATTATGTTATTAGACTGATTTTTGATGGCTAAATATCAAAAGCAGAACAAAAAATATTTTGTAAAGATACGCCTTACCCTTGTATACATAGCATACTAGTATGCTGTCAGTTCTCAATAACATTGCTTAGTCAGGTAATGTTTACAATTATGTGACATATTCAATGTCTGGGTTAGAGGAAACAGTCCTGATGTTGCTATTCACATACTCATACAGCCACGTTGTTACTGGACGTGAAATTACTAGCTTCATAAGTGGACAAGAGCTGTCGATCAATACATACTTTTATAACCGCAGAAAGATCTCAAACAAATACAAATAATATAGGTTCTTACTATATATGTTCATACGAACGGTTATAATAAACGTTAATAAGTCACGATACTTGTGAATGATATATTCAGAATCTAATAAACAAGCAAAACTAGTCACGATCGGTTTTGTAAATCAAGGGCGAGCGATGTCATGCGTTTATAATGTTATTGACGCTACGTCATTGTCGGATATAATATGGGAAATTTTGGACGAATAAACCATAAAAAATAATATATGAATCTAATATTACTGTAACGTGACCTCTGAATTCAGGCAGTGACTGTCGAAACGTGCATCATGGCTTCACTGATTGATAAGTAGTCTGGAGTTTATAATTAGTTTGTAAAAAGAAGCAACAGGATAAAATTGCTCGCTGGTTTTCCGTCACAAATCTGTTTGACGTATAGACACGGAAACGAACATGAACATACTGATGACTTACCCAAGATGCACTTAAATGTAAAGAAACAAAACTCGTCTTATACGTCTGTCAATCCACACCATGCACTTCTTAGTATGGAGAACTAGAACCCCAACTTGCGGTTGCTTGTGGACAAAAGACAACAGTAAGATGTTGCGGTTCCGATACAATCAGAAATTAGCAGACGGACGATAACACGATGAGTAAATATAAAATTTGATCAACGGAAAGCATTTTAAATCAGTATCAGCTTTCTTCCCTATAGAAAGTAAGGTGCATTGTACAATACGTATGAAGTTTTACAAGCTGATGAAGAGATATTCTTTGCAGGAAAAAACATGTCCACGTGATTTAAAATCAAACCTATCCAGCACCATAACTTAGGGAAATGTTTTGTCTGGCTTTATTTCTTGTATTGGTTTGTTTGGAGTTTAAAGTTCTCAGCAAGGGTCAGTAGGACATAGAGAAAGTAGATAGGAAGGGAGGAAAGTAAACACGAAAGAAAGAAAACGAGAAAGATCCCTATCAGTTGTGATCTCTTCTACGTAGAATGACGAAGCTTTTGTGACGCATGTGTAAATCGGAATCATGACTTGCCATAAACCACTGAATTGTCCTTCTGTATCGCTACATATGTAGCGCACCAATCGAAATGTTTTGGTGGGTATATCACTGGTGTTAATAGGAACTAATATATCATGATAACTGAGCATTCCTGCTCAGATTGGAGAGTTGCTGCTGCTGCTGCTACCGCTTACCTTACTGTTCACATGGTAGCAAACACACGAAACTTTACAATATATTTATCAAAAGATGGGATCGCCAGCTTTAAAAGTGGCAAGTTTAGCCATCAATTAACATGTTATGCTATTGGCATGCATCGCCTTCCTTCCCTATGGTAGGTCGGCAACAGCACACATTCAGATGTCGTGGTTATGTGATACTATAAAACACCCCAATGCATCCTTAAAGATAAAAACAGATAGTACAGAAGTGTTAAGAATACCATAATTTGATCTCAAAATCATTACACTAGGTCACAAAATAATACTGAAATATCTCACTTAGATACACTTGGAAACGAAGTGAAGGAATAATAAACAAGATATTCCTAACGAGTAAGGGTCTTCTGCTTCATCAACGATACCCGTCATGCAAATCTAAGTCGAATTCAAGTAGTGTCACTTTCTCAAGAAAAACGATTGCAGTGTAATCGAATTGGCACTTTAGAACGAATCAAAGTATGATAATCGTACACGGCTGGAACAATTCCACAAAAGGTAATACCAATAAATGATATATCAACTCAATAACATGTTTTTAGGTTACCTGAGAAAGAGGCATATCAGCCCTGACTGACCCCCCCGCCCCCGGGGCTGATGGGTGGGGCCAAACAGGGTCGAATTGACTGAAATTTCAAAAATCCTCTTCTCAAGACACAGATATGGTAGAATCAAAAACTCTTCATAGATGGAAGGGTCTTAAGGTGCTTTACCAAAATTGTGAATTTCATGACCCGGGGGTCTCACGTTCCCCCCTGGGAAGGGGGTACACTTTACTATAGTTTATATAGGGAAATCACATTTTGGACCAACATTTGTTTAATTGCCTTTGGAAGTAATTCAATTTGGGTTAGCATTATCAGTATTGGATTGTATGCACACATCAGCCCTGACTGACCCCCAGGGGCCTGAGGGGCGGGGCCAAAAAGGGTTGAATTGACTAAAATTTCAAAAATCTTCTTCTCAAGACCCAGATATGGTAGAATCAAATACTCTTCATAGATGGAAGGGTCTTAATGTGCTCTACCAAAATTGTGAGTTTTATGACCCTAGGGTCTCACGTTTACCCCTGGGGAAGGAGGAGGGGCAACATTTGTTATGGTTTATAATGGCAAATGATACTTTGAATATTACATGTTGATAACTTGATTGGAATTATAAACCTAAGTTGACAGTTTGATACTTTGAAAAATTTGAGCCATCCCTACCCCCAAGGGCTGTAGGGTGGGGCCAATTGGAGTCTGTGTGCTAAAAATTTCTTTATTTTCCTTGTTTAGAATCAGAGGTGCTAGTTTCAAATACTTTTCAGTCTTAAATCTGCATGCTAGATATTGAATAAGGTGGCTTAATTGTTTTTTTGTCACTTTGAATAATACTTCTGTTCATGTTAAAAACAAAAACCAACTCTCTGTATAAATATATCAGGTGACCGTTAAGGCCCATGGGCCTCTTGTTTAATATCATTTTCTATTGTTTTGTGCGTACATAGGATTTCATATGATTTTATTATTATACCACGATATAGGGCCCATACCTTGCTATGATATACCACTATTAGGGGATTTAATGTCTTTATGGTTCATCTTTAAACAAGAGGACACTGCACTTGCTTGTTAACTGAACTCATAATTACCGCTGCAGGAATTCGCAAAATCAATTACCGTTGGAACACCGTGTCCATAGAATGAGCAGTAGTGTGGCTTCGATGACATTTAAAACTGCCGTATAACTTAATTACACGTCTATTCTTCGACGACTGTTTCCAACGATTGATGCTGTTGTGAGGTTTCTTCGAAATTTGTCGTTAAACGAAAGTATCAACCACCCCGATGGACCTAAGCTGCACCTCTCATGAAAATAAGAATAAAGAAACATTCATGGAAACAGTGATAGTCAAATAAAGGGCATTAATCACCATCGCGATCTGTTAATTTCCATTTCTTCATCTTATGCATTTTAAATCAGTTAAGCTTTCAGTAAAAATATAACCAATCTACGCTTTCCAACGACGAAACCGTGTTAGCGAGGTAGTACTAAAACCATGTACATGTATGCAAATCCTACATATATACTAGCGGAAAAAAAGAAACTGTGCATGCCTAAAATGTGTGATAAAAATAAATGTGTATGACGTAGAACAACAAGGTTTTCAGGGACAATTTGTTTGTTATTTATCAACAGTTGCATTCCATTTTCCATGTTATGGAATCAATAAGTTCCGCTCAGGAGTGACGTTAACACAGCAGGGGTCAATATTGAGTTCACAAAGTTAATACTTTGTATGTCCACCGTTTGCCCGAATGCAAGTCTGGCAACGTCAACGCATGGAGCCTATCAGACGGTTTAAGAATGCTTGTGGGATGGCATTCCAAATTTGTACCAACGCTGCAGGCTAATCAGCTAACGTCACTTCTTGATTAGGCAATGTCCGTAATCTGCGCTTCATTTCATCCCAGACGTGTTCAATGGGCGACAGATCGGGGATACAGCAGGCCAGGGCAACACCTCAATGTTCTGCTGGGCCAGAAAGTCCATAGCGACACAAGCTGTGTGTGGCCTGGCGTTGTCCTGCTGTAGCGTAATGTGACGTTGCTGCCCTTGCACGAATGGAACGACGTGGGTCCGGTAATCTCGTCACGGTAACGTAGCGCGTTCAAATTTCCGTTAACAACCACCAGAGGCGTTCTCCCGTTGGCTGTGATGCCGCCCCAAATCATAACGCTGCCTCCGCCGAAAAAACGTCGTTGTTCCACACACGCGTCACGGAAACTTTCTCCAAAGCAACGATACACTCTGGAACGGCCGTCACTACTATCCAGGTGGACTCGCGACTCGTCCGTGAACAAAATGCCTGCCCAATCCCGTTGAGTAAATCGCAGATGCCTTCTGCACCAGTCCAGACGTGCTACACGATGACGTGGCAGAAGAACTGGACGGCAGGACGTCGCGTACGAATAGCTAGTTCACGCAATCATTTCCGTATAGATCTCGGGCTTATTGGTAGCAACCCAGGGATTGTCCGTGCAGTCAAACTTGCCGTTTGGAAGCGATTTCTCAAATGGACAAGTCGAATATGGTTGTCCTGTTGACGTTATGTCACACTTGGACGTCCCACACGAGGTCGATCGCCGACGTGGCCAAACTGTTGATGACGTCTCCACAAATCCCGGATTGTGTTTCGATGGACATGAAAACGTGTAGAGACAACGGCTTGGCCCATACCAGCTTGAAGCATAACAATAATCCGGAGGCGGTCATTTTCATTCATCCTCGGCATAGCATTTATCAAAAATTAAAACGTTATAATGCTGTTTTTACTGTTCACTGGCCTCTACAGAGTGACCCAATAGTTGAAAAATAAACTTTCATTGTTGAATTGGATGGCTGGACGAGAAAAACTTGCAAACTGGTCAACGCCTATAGAGAGCAAACTGCACGGGAAAGACTGTCAATGACACACGGATAGTGTGTATGTGTCATACTCGGTCATGTGTGTGAATTTTCATGTATATACAGTTGGTAATACATGTTCTTTGAGAATTCTCCGCATGCACAGTTTCTTTTTCCCGCTAGTATAGTATCACATTCGGTTACTAACCGACAACAGGTATCGTCAGTTAAAATAATCTTGTGTTCGCCTGCACTGCTTAGGGATATGATAGTGGCCATGACATTTCAATGAGATGGTAGTTTAATGAGACCTATACTATGTTTGTTTCCCAACCAGCTCCAGATTTGGGACACTTCCGGCCAGGAAAGGTTTAGATCGATCACGACAAGTTACTTCCGAAATGCCCACGGGATTGTGCTTGTTTACGACATCACGAACCGAACGTCCCTGGAGGTAGCTGAACGTTGGCTTATGGACGTGAATAGGTTGTGTGGCGATTCTCCTGTTAACTTACTTGTCGGTAAGTATCGCCCTCATCATAAAAAATATATATCAATAAAAAAAACATGTTTTAAATCATTCACAAGATAAGCACCATGTAAGTCAGACACCATATATATCAAACACCACGTACATCAGTACGATAATGCTTAGGCGCTATTCTGTTTTACAGGCAGGTCAAACGCATGGGACTCCAAAACATCAAGGAAATCTTAAACGTATAATATTAACTCTTATGCGTCAGGGAATGTCTGTTCCTTATGTGTCACGTTTTTTACGCACTTTTTTTTTACGTGGAAATAAATAAGACAATTGTCGCTGAAACGCCTCTGGATTCCCATATTAGATTTTCGTTGACCATAGCAAAATTAAGACGTGGATAGAAAAGTACATGCAGCACGTATTTATGTTGATGCAAAGTTATATATTTTTGGAACTTAAAAATGACATAAATATTCAAATTGGTTAAACATTTCTGATATCTTACAAATGTAGATATATTTTTTACTGAGCCATTTTTTTAAAAAAAATCTTCAACTTAAACTTTTAGCTCACTTAGCCTCAAGGGTCAAGTTACTTATGTTCCTTATAAGACGGTGCGTCGTCTGGGGTATCTCGGCTTTCTGTCCGTCTTGTCGATCTTAACTACATCTCGATATTTTTTTTATCGACTGAAAACAAAAACGGAAACAAACAAAATCCTTTAAACAACTTCTGACCTTCTGATTAATGAAGAGGCCTAGGGTGATGCTATATGGTCACTTGCTTTTTAATTTTAATTACATGATAACTGGTGATGTAAGGTAAGCGAGATTCTTCTTATTCAGCTTCATAACTTTATATTAATCTACCTTTTGCCAAAAACGGTTACGTTAGTAACTAACGCCGTTCCAAACATGATCACATTAATTTTTCCTGCTTTCTTTTTAGTTTAGTATTAAATGTTTCCCTTGTCTATAAAGTTTATATGTCGGGGTCGATTTCATACATGAGCCTATTCTAAGTGTCTTGATGGATCCGAACGTTGCATTTTTAGACAGGATTTTCCACTTAAAAGGATTCAATTAATTTTAGATAACTCATATTATTGCCTTGGTGTTGTATTGATTTTTAATTCGAATTGGCACTTCTGTATTCTCTCGGTTTTTTATACGGTACGGTCGTCAGCCTGGCCTGATTCTAGCCTTGATGAGATATCGATGTCTATTGGGCTTAATGACATATTTATTGTGTCGTAGACCTTCAAATCGTAGATTAGATGACATATATCATGGCGAGTGTCGATTTATGTGAAGGAATCCTTCGAAACACATTATTTTGTCTCCGTGTTTTTGTATTTTGTTCATGACGATTTTTGTTTTGTTTAATTTCGCTTCCACATGTACGTTTGTGGGTGTTCTGAGTGTCTTTATGGTTTGTTTGATGTCCCCTGGCTAACGTTTGTGGATGTTCCGAGTGTCTTTATGGTTTGTTTCATGTCCCCTGGCTAACGTTTGTAGGTGTTCCGAGTGTCTTTATTGTTTGATGTCCCCTGGCTAACGTTTGTAGGTGTTCCGAGTGTCTTTATGGTTTGTTTGATTGCCCCTGGCTAACGTTTGTGGGTGTTCCGAGTGTCTTTATGGTTTGTTTGATGTCCCCTGGCTATCGTTTATGGGTGTTCCGAGTGTCTTTATGGTTTGATTGATTGCCCCTGGCTAACGTTTGTGGGTGTTCCGAGTGTCTGTATGGTTTGTTCGATGTCCCCTGGCTAACGTTTGTGGGTGTTCCGAGTGTCTGTATGGTTTGTTTGATGTCCCCTGGCTAACGTTTGTAAGTGTTCCGAGTGTCTTTATTGTTTGATGTCCGATGGGTAACGTTTGTTGTCGTTTTGCAACTAATGTAAATGTAATTTTGCTTTAATGCAGGAACGCATGAAGGTAATCAAAGATGTAAGACGTAATGATTGCTAATTGTATTCATTTTATTTTTATCCCACCATCATCTGATGTTGACCAATTCAAATCGCCTTTCGTCTGTAATCCGTCTCCGTCCGGCCTTTAACATTTCTTGTTATCGCTATTGTTTTCAAATTTAACGTGTTGTTTCCGCCTAGTAATACGTTGTGCATGTTATATCTTGACACTAATTGGAAACCTGAGATTGCCGTCGGGAAGCCTTCTTTAATTTTGACAGGTTAACTTGGTCATCATCACTTCTCAGAAAGCCACCAGGCAGCCATATTGGATCTTAACAGTTTTGAGTGTGGTACATAAGACGTTGCCAATAAGTAGATTGCCTTGTCCTTAGTTGTCTATGTATACTATTCAAACTGATAGGAATAAGACGGCTGCGTGTATTTTGACAGCTTCTATCATTATTGTACTGGATGGGATATTTTGAAGTTCCTACCTAGGCTCCTCAGGACTTGTTTACCAGTTATGCAATTTACTTTCAACTGCATTTGCAAACATGGACTCTGGGAAGTTATCTTGAAGATTTAGGTTGTAATAAGTTTTTTTCAAAAGGTAAATTATATCCACCATTTAACTTTCTTGAACTCTTTAAGTTGGTTCTTCATGTTTCCTGTTTTTACATATGTGCTAGTATGACCTTCGAACTGCTCGATGAGAATCCAAAATTTCTCTTGGTCTTTTGAAACATTAATTATCATATATACCAGTAAAAACAACCTCACTGTATGATGCAGTAAAATTTATTTTTGGCATAAGCGTCTTTTTTCTCTCCATTTTTGACAGTGCAATCACGTGTTTGTATTACGTTCATCTTTGAAAGGGAAATGCCAAACGCAGCATGCTGTATGAAGTTTCCTTTAGATAATTGCCACAAGTTGAATGACTCAGACGCTGATCAAAGAAAAGAGGAAAAAAGTTCAAACTAACAATGAACCAAATATGATTTTATCATATTGAACTCCAATATCACTCTGAGATATATTGTAAAGTAATGAGTTTTAAATAGCATTATGTATAACGATGATTCTGTCGACTAACTGTACATGCTCTTAGTATTGTTTTTGTTTATTGTAGGAAACAAATCAGACCTAATTGACAGAAGACAGGTAACGATACAGGAGGCCAAAACATTTGCTGCGAACCATGGAATGATAGGACCAATAGAGACAAGTGCTAAATCTGCCGCCAATATTGACCAAGCGTTTTACAGCTTAGCACAGGTACGTTAATACGTAGACATTTAGCCTGTGCAGCTACACAACCGTAATCGCAGGATGGCAGCATGTTTAAAACTATCGCCATCTTAACTTAATTTGTTATGAATGTGGGATAATGATATTCATTCGCACAAAAGTGAAACAAATGACAGACGTGTAGAAAATTCGTACATGTATTTTTTTTTTTTATTTCAAATGTAATTGACATTTTCAGCATGCAAAAAAATGTGGGATATTTTCACTTTCTATATCAACATATATTTTTAGATAAATTATTTTCATGTTCATATCATTCATATTCAATTTTACTTTATTGGTTCACGTGTGATACACGTAGCATACGTTTACAATTTACAGCTTTTATACTGTAAAGTTTGTACACCCCACTTTCTGTCGCTTCATGAACTTTTCCCTTCCGTTTCTGGTTTCTATCAATGTCGCGTTTAAAGCTTAGTGTAGTCTTGTGTTTTGGCAAAATGGTATACAGGCTTTATTGTTTAATATCAGAATCATTAAAGAATGACCGACGCATAGCTATAACAGTTAAGACTCGGATGAATTTTACATATGATTAATGAATTTTTGATATAATAACACTTTACCACTTAAATTGCAGGAACTCGTTCAGTGCAATGGGGCATCTTCCCACCTGACGTATAACCAGGAGGACAGTATATTGTTACACCAGACATCTCCCCAGCCCGTTACGTGGTGGTCATGTTGTGGTTACACGTGACATATCTGACCCTGGGTCTCGATGTTAACTTTGGAACAGATCGTTATAGATATTAATGTTTTGCCAGAAGGTGCCGATCATATTTCAGACATACAAAGATGGTGGTTGAAAGGAACTGCGTATTACAAAAATTGAACATAACATTAACAAAATTGATGTGTATAGTATATCAATATGTATCAATAATCTTGCGGTATCTAAATGGCATATAATTAGTATGTATCCATTAGGTTGTTTATGCGTATATGATGGATCTTGAGATATCCCAGTTTTACGACGGATATTAACGAAAACAGTGAAATATTTGCATCACAGCATACCTATATGTCATTCTGTGACCATCATGTTCTGATGTCGTAGTTTTCCTGTGACGTAGTACATGTATATATCAATTGTCCCTTTTTTAACAACAATAACATCTGTGTATGATATTGGTCCTGATCGTCCGTGACGACGTCCGGATTCTTCCGACGCCTTTGTAGCATACAATGTCCAGATAAAGTGTTACACAGATCTTGTATCAAACAGTCTTGGTAGCTGCTATGGTGCATGTGCTGTAAAATTAAAATGAAGTACAAACCCGTACACGTTAGCTGTTCCACTTTTAGCCTATGGTCTGCGTAGCATTTCGTTGCGTGTCACTTGCGTAGCAATTCCATAGCATTTCCGTAGCGTTTCCGTAGCATATGTGTGTACAATGTTCCATTCAAAAAGTGTTTGTGAAACGCTCGGTTGTAAAGTTTATGGAAGATTTATTTGTCGAAACGAATTGTTGATCATTATAAAGCGCATTACGTGACAATTATTCCAATCATCATAAAAGTCTGAAGACGAAAACAAAAATGCCAATTTGTAAATATGTTATTGTGAATTTACATGTACATGAACATACACAACTCTCCTCCCACGGGCCTACTGTGTGTTCCCCATACCAGGTTATATAAATAGCAGACAAACAGCTGGCCATGTGGTAATGACCTTACCCTGGTTAGGGTAAAATAACTGAAGGTGTTACACGAATAAAGTCTCAGTGGCCGTTATAAAAGTTGTTAAGGCAACATGACCACCCGCTGACATATTTTCTCTATTCCTTAATTATAGATACTCATAAACTTGAAATTTGAGGAAAATGACATTTACTCCCCTTCACATAAATAACGTTATCATGCGGAACTAGAGAAACTGTGAACAGCTTCACATAAATATAAGTATAAAATATGTATAACAAAATACTGTTTATCTATAAATGAAATTAAATGAGTAGGTCTATAAAACCTGGTATTATAAATGTTATACCTCCAATGTATGTGCAGTATTTGAATGTGGTTATGATTTAACAAGTTATCGGCGTCCAAATTCCTACGAACAAACTGGATATGTATGGAAAAGTTTACGACGATAGAAACAAAATGTCATAGAGGTACTACATCCGTAACACAGAAGTCTGAAATTCTATATATTTGTTTCTATTATTAGGCCTTTAAGTTATTATGTTTCTTGTTAAGAAAACCTTACCAGTATACTTAATGTCAATATTGATTAGTCATTCATTTGGTTAGCAGGTGGAAATACTTCTGACCATAACTTATTATTTTATGTGTCGCGTTAATTTGATAGCGTCCGTCAAGTCTTTTGTCATGAAAATATTACCAATATATGATTGACCTTTATCTTTGTAAATCACGAGACATTTCTGTTTGTATGGCAGTCATTCCATTATCCAAACAAAATGGCAAGATTTAATACATTAGTATGGGCCTCCTAGTAGCTTACATTTCACTGACGTTTCTTCCAAGTCATTGTGGGTATATTCGTTTCGTTTTAGATGTTTTTTATGCTTCCGCTTTTTATGTTAACCCGTTCTTGTCACCACAAACGAATGGACCGTGTGTACATGTGTAGCACTTGCGTACCGTTTGCGTAGTACTTGTGTAGCATTTCCGTAGCGTTTGCGTCCAAGGTGGAACAGCGAACGTGTACGGGTCTATAGCAATATTGGAAAAACAGGCGCCGTGATAATCACTGTCTTACTGCAGAACAATATGTCCCCAGTGCACTTAAGTACCTGTGCAGTTTTTACTTTGGCGGAATAGAAACAATACAAAATGTATTAAGCACCTGATAAGATAGCTCTGACAAAATACACATATCGTATTTATTGTATTGGTTTATTAAATTAGCAGTGTGTTCTCAAAAACCGGTTAATAAAACATTGCTTAACATATTGCAGGTAGTTTCAGCTGTATTTATTTAGTTAAATTGGAACATGTACAATTGTTTAGGGCATGTCCTGTGTAAAAACACAGTCACTATCTACACAGTCTTGCTAATATAAAATGCATGGTTAATAGGATGAACATTGAGTGATAAGATCATATGTAGCGAAAGAGGAAAGGATAACTCTCCCTATTAAGGATAGACTACCCGTACTTCTTTCTGTATTAGCCCACCACAACCTCACTTGATTGAAATCATTCCATAAAGGTCTTTGGAAATTTATATATATATATACATTTCTCTTATTTTTCACTTTCTGGTTAGCTATTTTGTGTAGGTAGGTGCTTCTCTGTTGTTTTATTATCCATGTACGGTAGTAAAATAGCACATGAAGCGTTGTTTAAGCTTCTGATAATTAAGACTGTTCACCAACAGGTGTAAATACCTATTGTTGTTGTTCTGTTTCTTCTTCTTCTTATTTTTCCTATTTTTAAAAGTGTTTTACCTGTTTTGAAATTCTTTTTGTAGTCGATAGTAAATGGCCATCGAATCAATTTGATATATTTATTGTTTCTGAAACATTTCCCGTTAACGTCATATGACGTGTTCATTATTGCCTGAACTTTTTGAAAATCCGTCAATATTTTTACAAACTTCAACGATCCTTCTTCTTCAATTCTGCCATTGCAATATTAACCACAATTGGTACATGTATTCCTCTGGGGGCCCTTACGAACTTTGGATATAGTTTAGAGTTATGCAAGGGCAAACTTTTTCTTTCATATTGTTGTAGCAAAAAATGTCAACATCTGGTTTTCGGTAAGGGTCAAAGTTCAAATGCACTATATTGAGTAACAAATTTTTAAAAACTTCTTGAGTTCCACGAGATCTAGAGTCTTGATATTTAATATGTAAGATGCTGAGATTATCAGCTATTGGTTTTGAACTAATGGTTGAACTTAATCAACTATCAAAGTCACAAAGGTCGATAGATTCACTTTATATTCAGGTATGATGTGGACAACACCAATGCGCATATTTTTGGCAGAAAAGATTTTGAGTTGACCAGGTCAAGTTTTGAGTTATTAAGGGGTCAAATTGTACTATTTCAAGGTAACGACTTCAAAAAACTTCTTCTAAAGTTCTACAAGGTTAAGAGTCCTAGTATTTGAAACGTAACATGGTCAGGTAATTGGCTATCGAGTTTATAAAAATGATTAACCTTGACTTTCAAGGTCACAGAGGTCATATATGTAAAAATATTGAAACCATCTTGTCTGAATAACCAATAATCCCACGGTAACGATGTTTGGCAAGAAGCATGCTTGAATGATAGGCTTAAAAGTGTGTGCAAATAAACACCGTTTTCATTTTTGTGCGATTTTGCCATTTTCTCAGTCATCTCAGTACTTTAATTTATGTTTAGACACACAAAAAAAGCAGATTATATTGAACAATCCTTTTCCTTGTTACCAAGAAGCAAAGAGTAATACTTTTGAGGCAGACTCATAGTGGAGAGAAGGGTTGTAGGTCATAGGGGTCGAAAGTGTTTTCTTATTATGAAGGCTTTTCACCATCAGATTCGTGAATCTTTTGATTGGTAGCAGATATGTCTAAAGTCTTTCATGTATATTGTAGGCCATGGTTTAAAGATGTTAGTGCGACATTTTCAAGTACGACAAAATTCTAATATGGCTGCCATGACGTCATATGTCAAAATCTTAAAACCGCCATAACTGAAAAAAACGTTTATTATGCATATTTTATGACTGCTATCATTTGCAAATATTGCTTGGGGCTACCCTTTTCTCATAAAATGTTGTTAGAAAAAATGTCAAATCAAAATTCTCCTTATCGGGTCAAAGCCTATCAACTTTATCATTTTTTTTTTTTTTTTTTTTTTTTTTTTTTTTTTTNGTCTATTCCAATGCATAAGCTTAGCAACAATTGGTCAATGTATTACTCTGGAGAGCCTGACGAACTTATGTTTCTTTTTGGAATGATTACAGATTCAAGATGGCAGCCACGGGCTCCGATTTGTTAATAGCTTATACCAATATATTTCGTTAACAAATTTAAGCACATAATTGATCTTTCAATATGATATTGTGATAAGCAAGAGCAAACTTTTTCTATCATATTGTTTTAACAAAAACTGTCCAATATCGGTTTGAGGTTTGGGGTCAAGGTTTAAAGCTGTTTTGTGTAAAAACATTCTAGGAACTTCTTCTCTAATTCTGCCAGTACAATAATAATCAAAATTAGTACCTGCATTCCTCTGGTGGTCCTAACGAACTAATGTTAATTTTTGGAGTTATTGATATTCAAACATGACTGCCACGAGCTCTGATTGGTTAACCGCCTATACCAATATATTTCGTTAACAATATCAAGCAAACAGTTGATCTTATAGAGATATACAAGGGCAAACGTTCTCTCATATTATTTTAGCAAAAAATGTCAACTTCCGGTTTTCGGTATTGGGCCAAAGTTCAAATGTGCTGTTTTGGGTAAAAACATTAACGGATCTTCTCCAATTCTGCCAGTGCAATATTAAGCAAAATCAGTACATGCATTACTCTGGTTGCCTTTACGAACTTATGTTAGTATTTGGAGCAATTAAAATACCAACATGGCCGCCACGAGCTCTGATTGGTTAACAGCCTATACTAATATATGTCATTAACGATTTGAGGCACAAAACTGATCTTTGGATATGATGAATAAATAAGCCAGGGGAAACTTTTTCTTACATATTGTTTACTAAAAATGTCAACTTTCAGTTTTTTATATAGGGGTAAAAGTTTAGACATGTTACATTATGTACTTCTCCAATTCTACCAAGCAAATACTAACCAAAATAATACAACTATTCCTCTGCCGCTCCTTAAATTATGGCCAGCACGAGCTCAGTTTAGGTCATCATATTCAATGTATTATGATATATGGGTCAACGTTTACTATGAATCCATAGTACAATGTGCAGTCTCTTTGTATTCTATATTTAAACTTCTGCGAAAAGCTCGTCAAATTGTTATCAACAAGTTCTAGTTTATAATTAATTTTACAACCGCTGCTTATGAAAGATGCACGTGTCCCGTGCGGAACAACCATATCGGATACATGAAACCGGCATGGTATATTTCACTCAGTGACGGGTAAATTTATGATGTTACAATCAGGTGACTGTGTTTATTATGACATCACATTTGAAAACGCGTCATACGTCGTTCGATGGACTGAAAATTTAACTGTCGCAAGTGACATCACCTCAAGAACAAACAAAACATTTGAATACGTTTGGCTTGAAAGTGTTGCATGGATCTTAAAAAAAATGAGATGCACCTGACTTTTCCTGCTCTTTCGAAATATTGCCTTAGGTTGTGAAAGCAATATCTATAATGATTGCAATATTTATTGTAGTGTTATGCATTTTGTTTTTTTATGTCCTGTTTACCAACATTTCGGTTAAGGATTAGGAAAAAAACAGTGGTGCAGAATTCGTTTTCAGATCCTCGGCAAAGCCTCGGTTTGAACCAAAATTCTACACCATCGGGTAGAATATCTATACCATACGCACCTATATAATGACTAAATCTATTATCTTCGTATCCTGTGGTGCCAATTTAGGATGTCATTATAACGGAACAGACAACATTATATTACAGTAAATTATGTTCTGCATATCATGACTAGATATCTCGTAACCATCATTTTGTATCTAGTTACTGGGAATGTATTGATTTCTGAGCAATTGCGGAACAGAAAATAGTATCATTTAATTTCTGATTAAGACGCCCGTGAAGAACACAGCGACATCGCTGCACTAAAAATCGAATTAAACCTGAGGTTTTATACCTAAGATTGATTTCGTATGATCTTTGAATTTTACACTCTGTACACTATCATATATCATAACGAACTGGAATAATTGCCCTTTTTCTCATGTTGGCATACCCATAAGCGAAAAATTTGCCCCTCTTTTGGCCAATTTGGTTTTGTTTTGACCATAATCCGCAGGGTATTCTGCTCAGTTATATCAATGAATCGCACGGTATTCTGCTCAGTCAGGTAAAAACGCGCGCGGTATTCTGTTCAGTCAGATTATGACCCGCACGTTTTTTTGGTCAGAGAGATAATGACCCACACGGCTCAGTTAGGTAAAGGCCCGCACGGTATTATATCCAGTCAGATCATGACCACACGGTACTCTGTTCAGTCAAATCATGACCCGCATGATATTCTTGTCAGTCAGATCATGACCCGCACGGTATTCGGTTAGTCAGATTATGACACGAACGGTATTCTTGTCAGTCAGATCATGACCACACGATACTCTGTTCAGTCAGATCATGACCCGCATGATATTCTTGTCAGTCAGATCATGACCCGCACGGTATTCTGGTAAGTCAGATCATGACCACACGGTACTCTGTTCAGTCAGATCATGACCCGCACCGTGTTCTTGTCAGTCAGATCATGACCCGCATGGTATTGTATTCAGTCAGATCATGACCTTGAACGGTATTATGTTCAGTCAGATCATGACCGACACGGTACTCTATTCAGTCATGTCATGACCCGCATGGTATTCTGTTCAGTCAGATCATGACCCGCATGGTATTGTATTCAGTCAGATCATGACCCTGAACGGTATTATGTTCAGTCAGATCATGACCGACACGGTACTCTATTCAGTCATGTCATGACCCGCATGGTATTCTGTTCAATCAGATTCTGGCCTGTACCGTGTTCAAGTCGGTCAGATTATGACCCACACGGTATCTGCCCAGTCAGATTATGACCCACACGGTATTCTACTTTGTCAGATTATGACCCGCACGGCACTTTGTTCAATCAGATTCTGACCTGTACCGTATTCAGGTCAGTCAGATTAGACCTGAACGGTATCTGCTCAGTTAGATTATGACCTGCACGGTATTATGTTCAGTCATATCATGACCCCACGGTATTCTGGTAGGTCAGTTCATGGCGCCTATGGCATTATGTTCAGTCAGATCATGACCCGCACGATATTCTGGTCAGTGAGATCATGACCCACACGGTTTTGTGCTCCGTCAGATTATGACCCGCACGGTATTCTGTCAAGTCAGATCATGACCCGCACGATTTTTTGGTCAGAGAGATTATGACCCGAACGGTATTCTGATCAGTCAGATTCTGACCAGCACCGTGTTCTGGTCAGTCAGACCATAACCGACACGGTACTCTGTTCAGTCAGATCACGACCCGCATTAAATTCTTGTCAGTCAGATCATGACCCGCACGGTATTCTGGTTATTCAGATTATGACCCGAACGGTATATTATTCAGTCAGATCATGACCCTGACCGGTATTGTATCCAGTTAGATCATGACCCTGAACGGTATTTTGTTCAGTCAGATAATGACCCGCACGGTCTTATGTTCAGTCAGATCATGACCGACACATTACTCTACTCAGTCAGGTCATGACCCGCACGGTATTCTGTTCAGTCAGATCATGACTGACACTGTATTCTGTTAAGTCAGATTCTGACCCGCACTATGTTCTGGTCAGTCAGATCATGACCGGCACGGCACTTTGTTCAGTCAGATTATGATCCGCACGGTATTTTGTTCAATCAGATTCTGACCTGCACCGTGTTCAGGTCAGTCGGATCATGACCCGCACGGTATCTGCTCAGTCAGATCATGGCCAGCACGGTACTCTGCTCAGTCAGGTAAAGGCCCGCACGGTATTTTGTTTAGTCAGATCATGACGCGCATGCTATTCTTGCCAGCCAGATCGTGACCTTCACGGTATTTTGGTCAGTCAGATCATGACCGACACGGTACTCTTATCTGTCAAGTCATGACCCGCACGGTATTCTGTTCAGTCAGATCATGATCCGCATGGTATTCTGTTCAGTCAGATTATGACACACACGGTACTCTGCTCAGTCAGTTAAAGGCCCGCACAGTATTGTATCCAGTCAGATCATGACCCGAACGGTATTCTGGTCAGTCAGATTATGACCGACACGGTGCCCTGTTCAGTCAGATCATGACGCGCATGATATTCTTGCCAGTCAGATCATGACCCACACGGTATTTTGGTCAGTCTGGTCATGAACGCACGGTATTCTGCTCAAACAGATCAATGACCCGCACGGTAATTTGTTCAGTCAGATCATGACCAGCACGGTAACCAGATTCTGACCTGCACCCTGTTCAGGTCAGTAAGATTATGACCCGCATGTTATCTGCTCAATTATGAAATAAGATTATGACCCGCACGGTATTCTACATAGTCAAATTATGACCCGCACGGTATTTTGTTCAGTCAGATCATGACCAGCAGGGTAACCAGATTCTGACCTGCACCGTGTTCA